GTGCGTCTACGGTGTACGATAGAATAAATAATGAAAAATCAGTGATATTAACAAAAATATCTGTTTACCTTTATAGATTTTAAATAAATAATTGCCATCATGAACAATTACCGCAAAATATTGAGTGTTTGTTATGCACTGAAAAGTTATTTTCAAAAGTAACACCATTTATGTAGACATTCAGAGCAATATATAAGAGGGTTCCGGCTTAGTGGTGAAATAGGCTAAAAGATTTAGTGGTCTAAATTAGGGGGACGAATTAAGCAGGCAAAAATTTCATGTTTGTTATCGAGAGGATTCTGTTGACTCTTTTTCTACATCGTACATGTTGACTCCTTTTCCATGCTAGGGTTTAGTCACTAGTGCTAAGGATTAAGCATTAATTTTGATCCTTCCGTTTTGTTCTGTATTTATTCTATGCTCACGAGAAAGCGACGATAGCTTGTGCCTTTGGATACATCGTGAATTTATACCATAATACTGTACAGCAGCGGTTCCCAAATTATGAGTCGCGACCCACTAGTGGGTCGCAAAAGAATCTTGGTGGGTCGTGAAAAGATGTAGAAAGCTTTGATTAATTATACTGGTTATTAGGATCGGTCGCGACTTGAATACGTGAATCTTCAAAAAATAAATAAAAATTAAATTGAATTTAAATTCTAATATGTGAAAGTTTCCTTTTTACGATCTTCTTAAACCCTTACCCTTATGAACGTCTAATACATTTAAAATAAGTATCGGAGAATATAAAATAACAAAAAACATTTAACGCCCTCTCGTAGAGCCTTATGGAAATTTCAAAAAATTACAGTTTTGGAAGGGCGATTTCTCGAAAAGCCAGCATAAGGACATATTGGGTGAAAAGAAGAAACCGTATAGAATTGATTTCACCGTAGCAGAATAGTAGCAGCACGTTTTGAACTGGCCATATATAATCCCAAACATAGAGTATATTCCGATAATTTTATGAAAAATATATATATATCATAGTTAAAATTAGTTTTGTATTTCTACTGAATTTAATGAATAATTGAGCAATTATCTTTTTTGGTTTCTAATACACCGATATTGAACGTCTAATACATTTAAAATAAGTATCGGAGAGTATAAAACAGAAACAAAACATTTTACGCCCCTTCGTGGAAATGTCAAAAAATTACAGTTTTGAATGGGCGATTTCTCAAAAACCTCCAATAAAGCCAGCATAGCGTTTCTCCCTTTCGTGGATTGTATTTGTAGATAAACTTTCTTGTAGCAATTTTTTTTAAAAACCTCCAACAAAGGCAATTTTTGGCAAAATACGAGGCAACATCAATTGTTTCAACAGATTGAATTGCGAAAAGTGTGATGTGTGTATCTTTTCCAGAACTTGTGCTTCAATATCGTTTGCGATCTCATGCTCGCTTTCATTGTTGAATCCAAGAGAAAAATCTTCAAAAGCTTTTGCTTTTCATTTTCCCCAACACAAGACTGGCTGCTTATAGCATGCACGGTTTTATTAATGTTCCATCATTATTATGTGGTTTTGTGTAGTAGTATTTTTTTGATTCCGTCAGCAATGTAAAATAGTTCATACAACATTTTAAAATTAATTAAACCATTTTGACGAGGCTGTAACGAAGCGGCCGTTAGATCATCGAGTTAGTCACTGCCTTTTGCAAAAATTAATAAAATCAACATCTAATCAACGAAATTGTGCTAGAAAAACCACACTGAAAATAAATTAAAACAGAAGGTAAAACAAAATAAACAAACAAAAAAAAAACTCAATTCGATAGAATACAATGCTTAATAGATAACAAAGTAGTTTATTGCCTTCCTGCCAACAGCGTCTGACGATGCAAGTATGTGTTACTTGCAGCTATCGATATATTTTTCAAAAAGTTTGCGGGAGAAGCCTGCATAACAGCAATTTTTTTTATTTCCCGACGAATTTCATTCCAAATAATCTCCCTGGAAACATTATAGATTTTTGTAGAATCTGACCTCGGAACAAATAGGTTGTGCTGTATCTTGTGCCTTGGTTAAGGATTGAATTTATGCTTTGAAAAAAATCAAAAAAACATTTGGGGAACAGTTTATTTTCGTATGGTATATGAATTTTGCAACTCCATATCGATATAAGTCATTTAGCTTGAGAAGTCTAAATTTATAATAATACGGTTTAATATGTGCTTCGTAGCCGCTATTTGAAATTATGCGAATGGCTTTGTTTTGCAGTACACTGAGCTTCTTTAAATGCTGTTTTGACGCACAGCCCCATATAATTATCCCGTAAGTTATATGTGAATAAAAAAGTCTGTGATAAATATGTGTTATAGTTTTTTGTGAGACCATTCCTCATGGCTTACTTAGCGTTCCAACGGCACGTGCTAATATTATTGATAGCAGTTCAATGTGACCACTCTAGTTCAACAAACAATCAATTTCAAGTCCCATGTAAGAAGCTAATTTTACTTTTGTGTGGCAAACATACGAACGATTTCTAGACGCTTCAACAACTTCAGAAGATGAGAATTGGAGAAAGTTCCTCACCCGAAATCTTAATTTTATTCAAACAAGATTTCTTGAATTGAAATACGTAAATATCTTGTGTTGCTGGATAGCGTGCTTCATTTGAAGATGTCGCTGCAAGCCACCTGGCCTCATAACGTCGTTATTCAGATTGTCAAGACACCCATTTTGATACTAAAAAAGATGCTCATTGACAGCGGACGGTGAAATAGGTTATATATACAACGATCCTGGCAAATAAAAGGCATATAAATTTAGATGTCGTGAAGCAGTGTTTCTTTTTTTGTGATAAGACGCCTTTGTAAAAACTCTCCGCGCATGCGACGCACTAGTGAAAAAATATTTGAAAACAAAATGATAGAAACACTGAAAATCAAGTTTGGTTAGCTTTATGAGACGTGAGGACTTAGCAATGTTATGATATAGCTCTTGGATAAACCGTGTGTATCGTTATTAGTACAAGCTGGATATTCGTTATTCCAAAAAATTCACAAAATTTTCGGATTTACTAAATTGAACAAATCTTAAGTAAATACAGAAAGTAACATTGTGGTTTGATTTTATCAGAAATTATTTACTACAGTTATGTAATAGTTTATTCAAATATGCATACCTACATTCAGTAGAGTATGACTTTCCAATTAAATATTTGTACGACGCAAAATAAAAATGACTCATCAGTGCGTCGTGTCGCACCATTCCAAAACTCCTGTTGTAAAGAAATAAGACAAAATTCTAAAGCATTAAAATGGCACAACATTATAGTCTACGAAATAAGATGACGGCAAGATGGTATAATTACACAATTTAATTGTTAGCTTGTACTGGCAACTTGATTTCGATAAAGGTATTTTCATTACATGTGAAAATAATGAATATCCCATCATACTGACTTATTAAGAACTGACTTGTCGATTATTGAAAAACACTGTCACTGCTCGGGTAACATTTTTCGATTCAATTTAATATGTCATAGAATGAATCTCCCACATTTTTTGAATTCTTTCGCATGTGCTCGGCTGGCTATTTTTACCGGCACCGTGACATGGGCCATTTCATGCATAATAGTGTGAAAGATTACTGAAATATCAAGCTTATTCGGCTTCAAGATTAAAATTATGAATTTGTCCAGGCCAATTTTATACGTAACGCCCGTCGGAATTTTGGATGTGTTGTCGCTTAATTTGCAATATGTTTCATTGGAACCACACCCAAATTTGTTCTCAGCAGTGGGCGAGGTTGTATGTGGAAATAGGTCACGGGTGCTATTGTAGATTGACATCACCATCGGTGTGTCATGGTGGGATGATATGGCATCTTGCCAAGTTTTCAATTCCTCCGTTTTGTTCTGAATCTTCAACTGAATAAGTACGGCAATTCCGACATTTCCAGTTCTGGTTCTGGAATCCGTCAGTTTCGCATTTTTTATGAAACATTTTCTCACACACTATGCACTGCAAAGTTTCATATCCATCACCAGGCAATGGCAAAATACTTTGCAAGCAAACCGAAGGGATGTTTTGGGTACTCGGGTAGAATGTATTTCAGGTTTAATGTGACTCCAAAAAACGTCAATATCATTTTAAATTAAATGCCATTCCGAGCCCTCCATTGCTATACTTGCAATTGTGATGCTGTCACTATTGGCCTCACTGAGCTAACAAACTGCTGTTTGCACGATTCCAGAATAATTACTCGATAAAAGACTGTCATACATTGATGCATGATTTTTTTAAGAAAACTGGTCCGAAATAGTTATCCAGTGATTTTTCTGATGTTTATTATTTCAACAAAGGTATTACAGGATTTTATTGGGAATCCTTTCACTGTCAATATTATTACATCATTCGGTCCTGATAAATGACGATATTTTATTTTCATTAAATTGCTGCATTTATAATTCTATCATTTAAAAATAATTTATCCCGTATAATTTGTTGGTGAATCAAATCCAAATGAAGACATTCCAACCAATGGTTACTAAAAAATGGATTTTTTTCAACCGAGAATCCTCTGGGGATTTATCTAATTTTTGTACGGTCAAATCCGTTAATATCGATGAAATATAACAAATATTTTTCAGTTGGTCTTTCTATTTGTTTAGTTTCCCCCAAAAAGTTATCGTCGTCCGTTGAGTACATTTATGTGCTGTTTTCAACTTCATGATTTTCTTGCTCGGTTGTAGACACATCGAATACACTGTTTGTCTTCTCTCTTGAAAGTTGTTTTCCTACTGCAATGTTCAAATATGCGTCGTTAAATAGATCATTACTTATCGATTTTAATCGGTAAGTATGTTGATGGGTATTTGTCTGTTTATCTGTCTGTCTGTTAGATGCACGCGATATCTCACGAAAGTGAGATTGGATCTGTTGCAGATTTTGCATGTGCATTCATCATATCTCGTACCAGTAGCCTATTGATTTTGGGCGAATTATGTCGTATAATTAGCGAGTTATTAATTAATTAGTGATGGGACACAAGGTGTCACTATGGAGTAAGAGCGCTGTTTTGGGGGATCCCCTAACTTTCGATCGATAAGTCTTCGGTCTCTGACCAATATTCTCGTTTTTATTTTGTTGCAGCGAAAAATTCTCCATTGTGTTATCCATAAATTGTGGTAAATTTGCGTTATTTAATCTATATACATTTTGTAATATTTTTTCCTCATTTGCTTCAATCGAAATGTTTTTTTCGTCACTTTGCAATTCTTGCGCAATTCCAGCTTGAGTTGATGTAATGTAATCATTTCTAAATGGGCACGTGTCATCTTTTTTTTTATTTTCGATTTCGTTTGACCGCTTTCATATGTATCGACAGTATGGAGATACCATCTATACCAGACTATCCACATGTAAATCAATCTTGTTGTGTTTTTACAAGCTGTTGGCCAATTTCATTTCATGCGTATTCAAGTTGACGACAACTCCACGACCGGCAATTTCTACACCATCATCAAATTCTGGGCTGCAAGCTATATCTGGAAGAACCAATGAGCCCAACCAACACCGACCATGGCCAATATACAAATTTTCACAGAATGTAAAAGAAAAAATATTACGAAGAAACGATTATGGACTTTTAGTACAGTGGCGGTGTTGCCGATTAGTAAGACTAAAAATTTTTTTATAACAACGGCCTATGCATCGCCTGACACATATGTTCTACGATAAGAGCGAAAACGCAAGATATATATAAAATCACATATCCAGCATCTGTAAAAGCAAAACACACAATTAATTTCCTTCATAGGATGTTCTGATAACAGGTGACCGAGACGAATGATCATAAAGTCTTCAACCACGCAGTTTATGATAGCTTCAAGATATCAGGCATCCTAAAGTCACAGTCTAGACTAGACAGCCCTTTACTTTCAATCTGATAATGATTTACATATCTGCCGAACGGCATTCCGCTGCATATCCAGCTGACTACAGACACCGACACAAGAAAAATTATCAAAGATCAAAAAAAAGAAAAAGCCTCAAGGAAATGAATAAACGAGAAATACCATAAATGCAGGACAGTTTCATATGATACATGCACATTCAAAACATAATGTTCTAAACATTATATAAATTTCCATTTGGACTTACTAATAGTCTCAGTTACGCAATCCACAGACGTCGAATAAACAATATTCCCACAGGCAACCATATTAAACTAATAACACTATATACAAAGAACTTTGTTTACATTAGGTACATATCTTTGAATAGTGGTCGTTAATTACACAAGATAAATACCCTAAATTTGGTATGGTTTACGAAATAATAAAATATTGACTTTTCAAAACCAAAGTTTGTATGAAGCATAAAAGAAAAGTTACTGCTGATAAGGTCGAATGTGCAAAAGGGACCAAACTGGGCTCACAACGCCTTTCTCTGAACTGGTATTGGCACAGAAACATCATCTATCTTCACCGCTGTCAATTAGGTATGGCCTGTAAAGAAAGAAAATAAATTAATGATTTGGTATCTTCGTATTTAAGTTATCATTGACAGTATCTCCTAAGGGTTTACACCACTTTGAATCATTTTCTTCAAAGCAAAATAGCTCAGAAAATTAAACTGAATTTGCAATCATTGGCGCATGCAGACACTAATATCAATCAATGACAATAGTTTCATCGCGCTTTTTCCTCGATTCCGAATACACGCAACATGGCGTATACGAGAACACACGATAAAGCTTAAGAAGGTATTGTTAAAATGTGAATATTATACAACTCTTATCATGCTAAGGGTAGAGTATGCTACTCTCTCTTTCCTACCCAAATGTGGTCATGCTAGAGTACTCTACCCTTGACACCTTAGGGTTGTGGCTGAACAACTGTTTGATCGTGTGTCTGGTGCCTGGCTTCTGTAAAAGATGAATATTTACGTCACACAAAGACAGTTTTCGTTTGCGCGTTATCGCGCCCAACAAGTAGGTTATGAAAAAGTAAAGTCAGTGTATTTTGGTGGTGATTTTCAGCTTTTCTAAGACCAACTTATGAAATATCGTCTGGTTTCTTGAATTAGCGGACTACCCATGATTTATATAATATACGTTTTTGGGATTACAAGGCCCTTTAATGTTTTAGGTTCATGCACGATGATTTTCGTTTATTCCACACTATCTGAACTTTGTGTTTTCATAGTCAAAAAATAGTAAATCTTGACTAATATTACTGAAAATGCATAATGAACGACCCGAAGGCGATCAAAAACACGTCAATTATATTTTATGTACGTTCGAGGGATACCATGTAAAATGAAAAAACGATCATGGCACTATGGGACCAAACTTAATTATCATTACTTTTTATATAATGCGTAATTTCTTTTATTGTTGTATTTATATATTAACAGTGAAAGTATTATAGAAGTCTGTGTCGTTTATAAAGATATTTCAGAATAACCACTGTTTGAGATGAACATATAACTTACATATAGGTGTCTTGTTAAATATTTATTTGTTAAATATTTTGATCCGGAACTTGTTCTGTCTCTGGAAAAATATAATCAGTTTCAATTTCATTCAGTTGATTCTGAAAATTAGTAAATGTAAAAAAATGAGCTCAGTCATTGAAAAAATATAATAAATATTACATTATTTTGATAGATTTATATTGTAAATTAAACAAAACGCGTCTTTATGACTGATAACAGGCTAATAATTATAATCTTGTTTATTCTTTACTCGGAAAATAAAAAGACAGAGTAAACTTAATAACATTGGCGGTTATTAATTCTGACAATAAGATACAAAATTCAGATGCTTATGGTAGTCTCTGTGGGTCGGTCATATATCGTTTAGATCAAAGTAGAACAACATTGTACATATGCAACAATGTTCCACTTGGCAACTAGAAGAAAAGTTTTTTCCTAAATATCTCACGTGACTCAAACAAAGAGCATCGTGCAGGAATTGCGAATGAGTGTTGAAATAAACCTATTCTTACTGTTCTTAATATAAAAATCTTTTTTGTAGTCCCACTCCCAGTAGTCAATAGTCTTGCACATATAAAGCAAAATTTAAATAGGAATGGCAAAACATAATTATTATTTAATATTATTGGATCATAATAATATTAGTAACATTTTTCACTCACCCGTATATTAAACTATGCCGTCTTTTGTTCCCATCATCAATCTTGAGCTCATAAAACAAGAATATTTAAAAACAATGACGCTTATATCTTATGGCGTGACACATTGGGCCAGGGCGCACCGCGTTTGGTGCCCCATTCAGATAATAGTTTATGTAGTAACGCTTAACTTGTCAATATTTCGCTAAAGTAGCATATAATGGTTGGTCTGTGCCTTCTAGATATCCCGCCAAAACACTTTGGAGAAGAAAAATCTCGGTAAAAATCTTATTTTAAATAAACTTCATGAATTTAATTTAAGGGGTTAATAAACACCACCGACCAATAAATAAATACATATATATATATATATATTTCATGTTTCATTATGAAGCAGAATTAGGGCTAAGAAAAAATTATCAGACTCATCGTTGCTAAGCTCCGTGATAATAGATTGAAATATGTTTCCCAAACGCCGAAGTTAATGAACTTTAAGTTATTTTCAAATTAAGTTATCACTAAGATCATGAGGTCTGAATATCATATTTTGAGTAGTTTTGCCTGTGTCACTCCAAATAACCCAATCATAGTTAAACTTGAGGTTTGTCTCAACTTTACTAGAGTAAATTAATGTTACCGTCGTACTTAACTGCAGCTGTTGATTTAATAATATTCATTCTGCCAGATTTCTATTGTTTTCAGATGTTCTTGTTTCATGAGCTCAAGATTGATTATGGAAACAAGACGAAAGGCAACAACGTTAAATATACAGGTGTGTTACATTATTATTATTATGGCAAATGTTACTATTATTATTATGATCTAATAATATTAAATGATAAAAATAATAATTATGCTTCATTACAAGATTAGATTTGCTCAGATTTGATTAGAAGATATTATTTTTGCTTCCCCAAATGACTGACCCTCAGAGATTATCATAGATTATCATATCACGAAAAACTACACTGATTGCTAGATTGGGCATTGCGGAAAAGGTGATAAGTGGTTTGATATACAAACAAACGCAAAACCATGGCGGCAAATTCGGTGTGCGGACACTCATAAAAGCAATTATCAGGAAAAACACTAATCACACGTGAGCTGGTCTGTAGCCTAATTGATACATTGACGTGGCCAACATTGTTAAAACAGTACCGGTATACACACAGAGAGAACAAATAAAAAATATGCCCTTAAATGAATGTTTAAAAATGTTGCGCATTGATATGGTCATAAGTTACACTACAAACTATTTACACATATATAGTTGAATACTCATTTAATATTCAAGCGGAATTTCTAGAAATAACAGGATCTGCTGACAGTCAGAATTCAATATCATACTCGCTGTCACAAAATATATCCGTTCTTACTGCCATGCACCTTAAACATTTGAAGATAGTATTTAGTCGGCTTGTTTTTGATATATTGTAGTTTTCAGATATCATTTGGTTAGCTTGTTTTTGATATATTGTCGAAACGACAACTTGTTATTTGTTTGGCTCATTGGTTCATCCAAATATAGATTGCAGAACTTGTCCAGCCTGGAGTTGAAAGTTAGCCTTGTTATGTTTATTTATCATGCAATACTTCATCCACACTTTTATTTTTATTTTTTTAGACACAATGACGAGACATAACTGCAAGAAATCTGCCTCAAGATATAGTCGCTGCGAAATCTGGTATACCGGTATGCGCTAACACAGTGATTTTTATCCTTTTTCGGACCGTGGGATTTCTCATCTAAAATTGGGGCGGAACACCAATTGAGATTTTTGGAAATGTACTATAATATGCAATTAATTGACTTTTACCCGCGGTTGTGTGCAATTTGTATAACTTATTCTTGCTTGCTCCAGCAAAGTAATGACTTAGAAACTTTTCAAACAAACTTTTCATCAGTCAAAAACACTTTCATTTCATTTCGTAATTCCTAAAGGCGATACTTTCCTCAAAAAACAAAAATAAAATACTTTCCTCAAAACAACCATATGACCAACAAAATTGTGTATTCTGCACCCATTTCTTTGCATAAAAATGCGAATATGCGGCTTTTTACAGATCTGGACTAACCATACTTAACAAGGTATTAATCACGGAAGCTAATTTTACAGGAAACGTCTTTTCGACTAGCGCAGTGAGTAATCATAACATCAGGTTTAACTCCTCTGGTAGGATTAACTCCTCTGCAACAGTATGCGAATATTTTTTCTTCTCTATTATTTCAGCGACATGGTAGCTGGTTATTTGAATTTTATCAGATATCGTTGTTGATAATTTTTTTTTCGAAATGATGTTTCAGTATCGTTGGAACCATGGCAATATTGTGGAACTCTTTCCCACATAGCCCTACCAGGCATAACAGATTTGTGGCTCTTTCATTGAAATCTCTTGTGACTGCGAATCCGAAAAAAAGTCATTTTTGTGGTACGGAATACAGTACGGAATAAGGAATACAGTATTTAGTTTTCAATTAAATGAGTCCATATTGCCAGGAAATGAGCCACTTTTAATGAGGTACAATGGATTTCCTCTCCATGAGCTCCCCATGCTGCAATTGCATATAAGGAATATCGGATTGAAAGGGTAATGTTGAAAATGTGACTTTCATCGATTATTCTCACGTGACAGAATGAGGATTACTGAATTTTATTACAATCTCCGAGTTTTATTTCACATTTTCTTAACACTTCCTTGTTGTGTTATAGTTAAACATAGCTAAAGTTATTCGGATTATATTCAAATTATTGTCGCTACTGGTTATAACAACATAAATCAAAACAAGAGAACAACTGCATATTGTAATCCGACCAAGTCTCTTCCTTGACAAATTGAAACCGCTCGTAATTGCAAAGAGTTTTTCATACAATCTTGGAAATATGATAATTGTGGTGCAAACTTATAGACACCGATACGAATGTTTCAGGGTAGTTGTTTTCTGGCGGTATAGGTTTTGCGCGTCGAAAAGCGAAAACTGCCTATAGAACCTTGCAACTATGAAGGTCTGAAGGCTAAAATGACGCAAGACAAAGCGTTGATGGCTCAAGTCATTAAGTTTTCTTTAGCTGTTATTAGACGGGATTACCATCTTTCGCACTTGAGTTTTCCAAAATTATATTGACATTTATCTGCTTTTTATTATCACACTATGTATTAGGTATCGACTCAACACTGTCGAGGTTTGTCATACCAACTTGAGATATTTCAGCGTAAATTGCTATATTGAGGAAATAATTGTATACAAAATTTGAAAATGTGTGTCAAAAAATAAGTCTGGAAAATTAGAAATGTGTGTTTAAATTAGAAATGTCAGTTTTTTAGTATCTATAACTGCTGATATATATATATAGGAAATATTGCCGAAGTATGCAAAAGAGAATGACTACTAAACGTGGATGACAGACGCAGAATTGGCATCGTGATAGTCTCATTGGGCAACTTTGAAGTTGCTTTTTGAGAAATATAGACATATTTATAATTAGTCATAAATCATTCAGCCTAACGCGGCAACAATTATCCGACGAGATCGACGCACAGACATCACAATACATTGAAACTTCATAAATTTAGATCCAATACAGATTAGAATCCACAAATGTCATACTCTCAACAGTAAATTATTGTGGACAAGAAGGGATTTATTCAAAACGAGTTGTTTTAAAACAATTGTTTCAAATCGAGTTTTATATCGAGGCACCCTATTAAGCTCTTTAAAATATTCGCGGCACACTAGTCACATAGTATGAACATTTTCTGCTCATAAAACCATTTTGCTATAAATTAATAAAAATAAGAAGATCAGATAAAGGAAATTTTATTCATTTAAATACAAAATACCCTGTATTTAGTAACAGGTATAGAATAATATTGGTGAATGTCAATGGGGCTGTTGTGCCTGGTGCTCCGTTACTACTGCTGCGATTTGTGGACAAATCTGAGAGAGATACTCTTCTTCAGTGTTTTTATGCCTGTCAGTTTTTTCGCAGAGAGAGTTCATGGCGTTACCCGAAAAAACGTTTTCGGTGCTTTAATTCCAGTACGACTAAATACCTCAGCAGCTTAGTTTACTTCCATCCTCTTTCCAAATTTTAAACCAAAATGCGCGTTTGTAAGCCGCTATGCTAACTTTCAACGAGGCAACTTCAGTCTCGAGTTTCTACATGTATTTTCATTAGTCGATATTTGTTATTACAATAATGTCCCACATAATTGTCAAACCATGTAGTAGATCTAAATGTAAATACCTGATAAATGAATATATTAGCAATTTTTTATTTCGTATATGCCTTCAGCTTTTTACAATAGCTAAATAAACTCCTTTGTTCTAACAAATAGAATGATATGGAATTGTTATAGAATGATATGGGGTAATTAACGTGATATACCGAGAACAATAAGACTACGTTTAGACACATTGATGGTCTCAAGTGCACGTAGGTAGAAGGAACCTATATATATACTAATCGTACATCGTAATTGCAGCAGATTTCTAGTACTCATCGGGACGCTTGTAAAATGTATTGAATGTCAGTTTAATTGCATGAAAGAAAAATGCAGCAAAATTTAGAAGGCGTCTTCATCTATTCGGGTAGCAGATCCCCCCAGCAGATTAGTTTGTTTACCTTTGTATGTTTATCTAACTATTTTAACTAACTTAACCCCTCAAGTTGCCACGTATAAAAAAATACAAATAATAGCAGATTTATACCAGTGGCGGATTGATATATATATATTTATATTCATTTACTTTCAAAAAAAAAAACATTTAATTACCTTGATGTTGTGTCAAAAGAAAACAACGACAGCATCAATTAGCCCAGCTTTCTGAGAATTAGACAAACCTTTCGTCATCGCGTATCCATGTGACTGGTTGAGAAATGCGATTCGCACCTCTGCGTTCAAATTGATCAGCGTAATTACATATTTAATTACTGTAGTCAAATAAGATAACGGTAAGCAATAAAGATTTGATTGATTAAGCATTTTACCTCAGGTCGATCACATTGTCTGGCGATATTCCATATCATTCTATTTGTTAGCTTGATGGAGTTTATTTACTTATTGTGAAAAGCTGAAGACATATACGAAAAAAAAATTTGCTAATATATTCATTTATCAGGTATTATATTTAGATCTACTACATGGGTTGACAATTGTGCGGGACATTGTTGTAAGAACAAATATATATCGACTACTGAAAAGACATGTAGAAACACGAGACTGAAGTTGCCCCATCAAGGTAAATGATCTACACTTATGTCATATAACAGGGGTGTATAACTCAAATAAGGATAAGCGTCAAAGTTTCAAAATCTTCTCGTCGTGACCCAAGCCGCGTTCGAATTATTGGTTATGACTAAACACAGGGGTTCCCGCGCAATGGTTAAAAACCATCGGGTTATGTGAACGAACTTATGTAAAACCTGTAATAACAACGAACTTCAATAAAACACTTTCGATAAAGAGATAGTCGGTCGTCCACGAATCTTTGTATTCACAAATAGTTTCACTTTTTTTCTGTCTTTGTTTGCGCGCAATGGGTAGCTAGACAAACAAGACAGACCAGTTACCAAAAACTATCATGTCCTGTTTTATTGCTGCTGAGTTAACAACACAAGTTACATACATATAAATTGTATTATGAAAGTTCACAAATAAGAGATATGCATATATCTCTTTACTTCAATATGTACATTGGTAGCAAGGTGAAATTCAATTAATCTTTTTAAATATTTATGTAGCATGCCATGCTGTTCATTGCATGGTTTATAATATTTGAATTAGTAATATCATACCTACAATTCATTTACAGTCAAAGATTGGGCTATGGTGAAATAGCATACTGGGAAATGGGCGTCCTCGGTAAACATATTTCCAACTGGGTCATTCCTGGGAGAAAGATGTTGCAAAAAAGGATTTCGAAGCTGTAAAAGTCGAAAGGTGATTATATATCTAATGGAAAATTTAGAATCAGCTGCTTGAAAAATGTCTTATTTGATAATGCTAAATCATATCATCTTGTCACCACTGCAAGTGCTTCACACACTTTCATTCTTAAAAATAGCACCGTTTTAAAACAATTTAGAAGTCGTTAGACATCACTTCTCAGTTTCATGAGAAACAACCACAAATATTATTAGTTAACCCACAAACTTGCACTGTACCCAGTTTGTGATGTATGTTCTTCTCAATATATTTCAGATGGTTACATAGGACCACAACAATGCGGTGAAAATGTTTATTTACTCGAGTCCTACAGTAATATGATCATAAGAAGCGCTGTGGTTGAAGTTGACGCACGGTGTACCCCCAAGAAGTGCTGCATCTGGATTGTTTTATCAATGCAACCCGATAAATGATCACAATCACTCAATACGAATCTTTGCCATCTAATATTCCGCCATGAAGTAAGCAATACCCCTTATTCATTAAAAACCCATCCTACGCGCAAAAAGAACGTGTCCATGTTAAACGCTTCCAGTACCGGTACCGTACCCAAAGCAAAATTAGCGCCGCATTTGCAGCGCATATGCCACAGAGCACGGCGCGTTGGCAGAATCTCATGGTCTAGCGAGAATGACGTCATCGGAAACACCGCGCTCATTAAAATTTTAATGAACGATTATCAAAAATCTTGACCATGTTTAACATGATAAAAATATCAAAAAAGATGTAAAAAATATTCTATTCTCAAAGCTGCTCACGTCTACATTGAAAGATATCTAGAAAATTACAAAAAATGCAAATTTTTGCTCTGGTGATCACATTCCCCATAAGAGCTAATGTTAAAATTGTTTTGTTTACATCACTTTTCTTTTTGCGCGTAGGATGGGTTTTTAATGAATAAGGTCTATTCCGAGTGGGCGTCGTATTTGAGTTATTGTCATTTCGTGTTCCTGGATACAAATCTGGAACAATTGTTATGCCGTCGCGAGGAGCTAAGCAAACAAGCGCTCCAGCAGTCTGACTTAGCTTGTAATCAGAAAAAAATATTGCGTTCAGATATGAATTGAAAAACTTCTTAGTTTTGAATTATGTTTCATCCATGGCCATTGTTCAATTGCTGAATCCAATTCTTTGTAAAATTGAGGCATACCGTTTTTAAATATCCAAGTGAAGACTGTAAGTCTACTATGTTGAAAACTGCATCTCCAAACGCTATCCAGGCTACAAAAATTCTGCTCATTGTTGAGGCCAAAACCCTGAGCATCCAGCCAGCAGAGTCCATATGTAGAGCATGTCTGCAGATAACAGATTCGCAAACAGCCTATTCTTTTTTACTAAATTTAATCTTGTAACCATCTTCGCAAAAAAGACATGATTGGTATTTAAAAGTACTTGAAAGTTGAAACAACTTTTTGTTACCGTGTTCCAACTAAACATCCGTTTGTTCTCCAGGATTCTTTCAATTTTTTTTCCAAATTATTAGCTTTATCACATTCCCTCCCCTCCTTGAGCTTTTTTATATTTTCTTTCAAACCTAAATTTCCACCGAGAAGTGATTTAATTTCCGTGAGCTGCTGACTGTCTTTGCTCCTTCTCTTGTTTCATATAGCTCCTCTCGGACCTCCTGCAGCATGATCTCACCATTTTCTTTCTTTTGTTGCAGTTTATTATTCATAGGTCTTCAATTATCTCTGTATTCGAACCAGCGGGAACCCACCCGAGTATCAGACCGATGGCGCATTGGGGTTTTCATGAGCAATTGCATTATCGACGCATCTATAATTCTTCTATACCAGTGTTTCTCGAACTTTTAAAAAAATTATGCATAACGTTACCTCTTCAATTTTTCTGATGACACGTGGTCCACTAAAGAAATGAAAGCAAATAGCAACATATATCAAGCATTCATCTTATGACATTGAAACAGTTCAATGAGACGGGTGCGCCTGCTTGGCTTTCACTAGTTCTTCTAACTTGAGTTATGATTTGGATGACGCAGCTCTCATATCGTGTCTCACGTCCATTCTGTTTCAACATTTTATTTAAGCGAGTAACGTAGAAAAAGCTGCCTCACATCTGTAAGTTGTTGCAATGGAATGAGCATTTTAGTGCCATCTTTGCGACACCAGGATAGGACAGTGTCACTGGGGTTTTTCTTTTCCTCCAGAACTTATCACAGCATAACGAAATTTCACATATGAATCGTTACATCTAGATCCATTTTTATGGCAGGGGGGCATCTTTAAATAACCCCGAGAAAAGTAACAATCAGATGCACACGCCTTTCATAAACAAACTTTTCCGGGCATCAAAACATCCGTATTCCTAACCAATCACAAGCGAGCAGATGTAAACAAACATTCACCGCTTAAGGTTCGCTCAGACAACTTTTTACGCGTTCGCACATGAGTTGCTGGCGGTTTAAGCAGATCTTTGTCCTTTTTTCACTTTTTGTTTTCTTCACAGTGCTGTGAGAATTAGAAAGCTGTAATACTGTATGTTACTTGTTGCGAATCACGTTCACGTAATATATATATATATATATTTATACTGAAAGGCTTCGTCCTAGGCCGGCACCTTTCAGGTACATGTTAACCAACTGCTATTTCGAACCAAAAAAATAGTAGACAGTCATGCTGATGAAATCAAAGGTATCGGTAGCCTACCGTATATCAGTACGGAAGAATTTGCCATCGATACGATGTTGCATTTTCATTAAACAGAATCTATTAGTGGTTGATTTTGCATGGTTAAACGTTGCCAGTCTGACAATCGGTACCCGTACCCCTGCTGGACAAATGGAGTAGGATTGGTGTCTTTTCCGAAACCACATATCGATCCTCATAAAGCAATGAGGTGGATAAAGGCATGCAGCAGGCCTCACAGTCAATTCAATCTGGGAAAAATCACCAAAAATACCTACGTGTGTACCAAGGTAGGCCAACATATATATTGTTTCCGATACCTATGATATATTCTATATGTTAATTCTTATTTGAAATAAAATTTTTTTACAAGCAATGCAATCCATTATGCATTTCAGAATTTTCATTGAGGCGATGCCAGACCAACTGATGGATACTCCGATCCTATATACCAGATTCTTGCCGCCCAACAAAAAAGCACCATCAAATTGTGAGGTAAGTATTATTTATACCATGATTTAATTTTTTGATTATACACTTGTCAAAAACTTATTTGTTCGCATAGGCATTTGCGCGAAGACATCCAGCCAGATCCCTCCACAGCCGCTTAACACAGAAACAAGTGATTGTGATGAAAGTGAGGCATGCTCGTCAAAGATCCTCCAGGATCTGTCGCCGGATACTTCATTTAATACAGAGCGAATCTGACGAAAGTGAGGAAGGATTGTCAGGGATCCAACCAGATCTACCCTCAGACTCTTTTCTTCTAGCATTGATGTCATATTTGCTAACTGTAAAAATGATAAATAAAGAAGGAAAATTAATATTGAAGACTTGGGACTTCATGCAGAATATTTTTCAATTTATTGGTGATATAATGATGTTACTTTATGAAGGATGCTTTGCATGCATGCCATGTCCGGTGTGACCCTGGTGATTGCAATATCATTTTTTTTGTGGACAACAAAGTCACATCTGACAATGAGGTGAAATAAAAACCCGTTTATAGGTCTTCAAAAAGATGTTCCGATGATGGCAAAACAACATGTGCGGCGCTGTGTCTCATTAGCCTTTCTTTGCATGTCCTACTTTCGGTGACCGTACATTTGAACCCATGTGTATATCCACGGGTTCAATCTATATGCGGGTGCTAAAACCCATGGGTTAGGGTTAGTGTGGGTTCAACTATCCGAAAAACAAAAAAAATTCCATAGGTGCAATAGCATACAGGTGCAATTGCCATGGGTTCAAATGTACGTGGGTTCAAATGTAATGGAACCCCTACTTTCAGCAATCGCCGACCATTCTCTTTGGTCAAGAATAATCAACTTTTCATTTCAATGCGCCGTTAACTATATTACTGAAAGAGAATTCGTCGCGAATTTAAATTCCTGTGATATTTGCACATTACGCTTCTCTACTTTTAGCGGCGATTCATCAACATATTATTACCAGTTTGTTAATAATGCATGCTATTATTTTTGGCAACAGGGTTAAATTGGTTTATCGTTGTTTCAAGCAAGAAAATAAGCATTTGTTTTTTTCGCTTATTCAGCAATCGTAATTCAAATATTTCCCTATGCGAAAGTCTTCACTCCGCGGGGTGTCTTTGCGTTTTAGAGTTTCAAAGTGATGCCGATGATAGTGAAACACCGACACATGTGGCTCTTTATCGCCAGACCCTGCCCTCTTTGACTTTGTCTGTCTATTCGTTTATTTTGTTTTGGCATGTTCCATTTCAACCTTTTAGTAATCGCCGAATATTAGCCCATTGTCAACAGTTAAATAAAATGCCACACATGATTTTAATTGAAATAACGCAAAAAATGTAAAATAAGAATATAATGAAATATTAGCAATCATGAAACATTAAGAAATAGCATAAATTAATGATATTTGCCAAATGCCAATGGTTCATAAACTATTTTTGAGTGCGTCACGAAATATCAATCCCTTTCCAAAATAAATATATATATTTGATGTTCCCGTATTTATGACTTCATAAAACGATTACAATCATTTAAAAACAAGCTCATGTATCGTACTGATTGAGAACAAAACTCCTGCTTGTTGCAATTAACTGTTAATAAATTCTAATTTTCATTGCAATGCGTCGAGGGTAGACCTATATTACTGAAAGTGAAATTGTCGCGAATTTGAAATCCCGCGCCCGTGATAGCTGCATTCTGCGCATAGCGCTTCTTCACTTTCAGCGGTAATTTATTAACATAGTGTTACCAGTTTATTAAAAAGAACTGAAAGACAACGCATGTAACTGCTTTTCGCAGATAGACGAGTCCAAACGAGTCTTGGACGAGTTTGCTACCCAAAAATCTCGAAGATTGAACATTATTTTGCAATGGTTTGTTTTCGCAGATTGAATATTATTTTATGACATTTTTTTTTCGATGCTGCCACATTTGGCAATCCTTTGTTAATGAACCATACATTTCCAATAAATCATTTTGTCTGTTATTTGCTTATGAACCTGGTGCCATCGCTTGTTTAAAGATGCACTACATAACTAAAATTCGTAATTAGCGATAACCAACGATAAAGATGTAATTAAAAGTATGGATGCGTTGAATGTGGCGAGGCGAGAGCGCGCTTGTGAAATCGTTGAATGTGGCGAGGCGAGAGGGCGCATGTGGAATAGTTTTGACGGCAATAGTGTGATACGTCCGTTGCTATTTGTGTCAAGTGAAAGGTAGTACTTGGTAGGTAGTAATTGTATTTAATTAAAAATGTTAAGGATTGTGACTTCCGTGAGCTTCTTGAAGCTAGCTCCACTGCCGCGTAACAGCGATAACGAATCGTAAACATGATTAATAAAGTTAGTCCGGCAGATAAGGGGACCTTTTTGGCCCAAGTTTGATTTCAGACATAAAGTTTTTTTTTATTTGTGATTATTCATCTTAGGGTCATTGTCCATCATTTCTACATGGGTGTGGAGTTTGCAGCATTGAGCAATTTTTTTACGGCTTGATATTTGTATTAGTGTTTTTCATCAAACCTGTGCATCATAATGACGCACAACCTGAACCATAACCTGTTACAATACTATGTTCAGGTCGGCGGGCGTCGGCGGCGTTTGTCTAGTATTCAAACCTTCTATCTCCACAAGGATATATTATTTTTGCCAAAGTCAATGCAGCACTGAAATGTTGCGGTTCTTCCAAAAGAAAACACGTTACACATCTTTAGATACCAGTGGATGGTTTTACATGGCCTTGTTCGGGGTGAAAGACGAGGTCAAATATTCCAATCCAATTCAACTAATAAAATATTTCCCAAGTCCCTAAGCTCAAATTAGGAAAACGAAATGCCCGCGGCAACGCAAATGTAGTTTGAAGAGCGCAATATAAAGTGGCTACTAGATGCTGTCGATGGATCTTGGCTTGTATTAGTGAAATAAAAATAAACTACCATTTATTCTACTAAAATTGAATTTCTGACATTGTAAGGAGATTCAATGTTACTATGTATGCAAAACTAAACCATGTAGTTATTAACTAATTGTTTTTAACAAAAAGGCGCTCCTGAAGTATTCGTACCAAGATGGCGCACAACCTGAACATTGTATGTTTACCAGGTTAGAGTTCAGGATGTGCGTCATCTTGGACCGAATACTTTAAATCCACTTAAAAAAAAATTGCTCAACATTATATAATCCACACCCACCTGGGTATCATTATATATGTCATATACATTATATCTAAACAATAAAAAAAAATTATGTCCCAAAACAATGTTAAGGCCCGATTCTGCCAGACTAAGTCGGACGCTGCGCGAAAGTGATAACGCAAAGAATAAAATTATTGTAAGTAAACGTAACACTATTGAAAAAAAAAAAAACGATTCCAAGGGGGGGACGACCCATGTAACCTCTCCCCTGGCTGCGCCACTGACGGCGTTCTACACTGAATGAATAAACTATTTTGTAAAACCTATCAGATACCTGACTGTTTTTGGTTGAACCGGTATGATTGGAACTCGATGTAAGTTTAGGCTTAGCAACAACTACATATGACAAATTTGTTGGATCACCAGTAGTTCTGATAAATATGTAACAATTTGTAAACCATGTTTATCCCTATAACATTATTGGTTTTGCAATTTTAAATGCCCTCACCCTGCTTTACATGTACAAATTGCATCAGAGACTTGGTGACTATCCAGCGACACCACTATTTGAAGATGATTTGGTGGCAAAGACTCCTGAACTGATCTATAGCACCTGGCCTAGAACTCTAACGTTGAACCTAGATTGACGACTGAACCATCATGAACGTATCTGAGGAAAATATTCACCTGTTCATAGTTACAGATTGCTGTAGTTTGTAAATCTTTCCCAGAATTTATTTAAAATATTTTTAAACTACCCTTGTACTTCATTTGTTTCTATGCTAAACCCACCAATTCAGTCCTAACTTGGACGCTATCTATTAGTCTATGAACCATGGAATACCGGTAGTCACGCACGTCTTCCAGTCGTTTCACCACTCTCTGACATTCTTCAACCATATAAGTTAAGTTTAAATATCACCTTTTAATGAATGGTTTTGTATTCTTCTCCAGCTGGTGGAAAAAAAGTTCTTGGAGAATCAAGGCATAGAAAAGTCATTTCTGAATAATTCCATATTTGTATCTTAAATAGGCTTTTGGAACTAAGTTAGTTACGGTAACGGCAATGTGAAGGCAGAATAACATTAATAATAGATCACTTGACAATATGTTAAAACTTTAGAAGCACGAAAATACCGCCATCACTTGTGAAAGACCATTTGAAGACCGTTAAAACGAGCAACGTACCACTCTATCGCCCTACACAAGCCTGAAAAGTTTGTCTGAGCGACCAAAATCACTTATCGATCGAAGGTTAAGGGATCCCCCAAAACAGCGGTCTTACTCCATAGTAACACCGTGTGCCCCATCACTAATTAATTAATAACTCACTAATTATAAGACATAATCCATCCAAAATAGGCTTCTGATCCGAGCTATGATGAATGTACAAATTTGGAGCAGATTCAACCTCGCTTTCGAGAGATATCGCGTGCATCTAACACACAGACATACAAATACCTATCAACTTACTTACTGATCTTAAGATCGATAAGTAACAATGAAGGTCAAAGGTCGGGGAAAGGTCCATACTCCATATCCTCTGGTTTACAGTACTTACCACGTTCAGTAACGTTTATTACGCAATAACGTCTTCGGTAGAGCGTGTCGTGTGTTGGAGAAACACTGTATTGACTGTAAAATTATGACAACAAAATTTTACTTCAAATCAAAATGCTTCTGTGCCGAAGTTAAAGTTGTCTCGTGGTCCCCCTAGAATTGCTTCGCGAACCCCTAAGCGACCGCGAACCCCAGTTTGAGAACCAATGGTCTACTCTATAAGACTCTATATACCATCTTTTTTGAAGTAGCTTTTGTAAAAAGACATGACTTCCCTGTTCAGGTAACCCTGAATAACCCTGGCCCGAGTTACGGTTCTCCAGCTGGAAGTACACAATGCAACAAAGCAGTTTTAATGTTTAGCAGTGAAATTACATAGCTTGGTCTGTATTCAATTTATAATATTTAAAAGACTGTTGAAGTAACGTTTACACACAGCAAGATCTTTAAAGCAGGTCAGCAGGTGCGAATAGCAACCGCGCGAACTGACAAAC